TTTCAGTGATGCAGAGGGGCTTCCTGGCACACCGTGTGGCTCTGGGGCTTTTTGCTGGGGCTGGGCTTCACACGGAGCAAAGGAGCTTCCTGGCATACCGTGGCTCTGGGGCTTTTTACAGCCCCAGAGCCACAGCATGCTAGGAAGCCCCTTTGTGCCATGCAAAGCCCAGACCTGTGGCACAAAGGGACTTCCTGGCACACTGCAGCTCTGGGGCTGCAAAAAGCTTGCAACCCCAGAGCTGCAGCACAGCCAGAAGCCCAAGTCTGGCCTTCCTGAGCTTGTGCCGCACAGCAGCAACCCCTTCCCCCAAATCGTGCATGGCCTACACTGGCCCTCCCAAGCCTCCCCCACCCCCCCATGGCACCCCAGTGCTCCTTACCTGGGACTCCCACCTTTTCCCATTTAATGACCCGCGTGTCTTGGGGTTACAACAGCAACCGGGACTGCCTGGATTGCCATCGCTAAGCAATGCAGTCACATGACATCGCACTTTACAACTGCATCGCTTAGCAATGGAAATTCCAGTCCCAATTGTGGTCATAAGTCACAAGATTACCTGTATTAGTTTCTACTGAATCCTTATATACTTACAATCCTTTATTTTTCATTCATGTTTAGTTAAAAACATGCATTCAATCTGAAAGGCTAGAAGAGGTATAATCTGAGGTACTATGGTTTGTGAACCCCACTGTACAACTTAGCATATTGTATAAACCTGTTCACTGTAGTTTACTCAATAACCAGATTTAAACAAACCATAACTTAGTGCAATATGAGAAACCAACCTGCTAGTCAAGCTCAACAGGCTGTAAACACAGCATAAATAAAACAATCACCTCTTTTTAGAATTGCCAACTAAAAAGCTACAATGACTCTTTATCATTCAGAAAATTAAGTGAGAATTCAGGAAAGTATAAATGAGTTTTCCTGTGTTTTCTGACAGTGATATTCTCATGCACACAACACACTGTTTCAGTACGTTTCAAGGATTGCAAGAAACATATGTTGGTGTTCTGTGCACATATTAGACCACATTAACATTTTAATTGTGACGTTCATTAATCATCAAAAAATATATGCCTATACTTTATTCTATTGCTTCCTACACTTTTGATTTAACACTAAGATACAATTACAGAAGAAATGGAAGTACAGTATTACCATTCATGTTTTGCATGACACCTGAGAAGAGTCATTTATTTCTTTTTAACTACTCAAAAATTGAACTTGTCAGTCTTATGAAAGCCCATGTTATAAATTTATATCAGACGCTTGATTTGAAAGGTCTCATTAACTATCATAATAATTAACTTCTTAGAAGTAGCTTTTATCAAAATCAGCAGGGAATCTACTGTTACTGTATAAAAAACAGGCATTTTAAAGAAAATTGTTAACACAATAGGAACGTGCCAGAAACATTTATTTTTGAATCTAAGACTAAGATCTAAAGGGCTATTTTAATTATGCCTAAAAGTTTAGCGGGGACCAGGGAGAATTTGAATCCCACTTGCTATGGTATTTTCATTTCATAAATTGGTTCAGAAATTTCCCTGAGTTTCAGAAAACAATCCTACGCAATTAGAACACTAGTATTTGAGAAACAACATTCTAATGCATGATTGGTCATTCAGACTTAGTTTCATGATTCTTTGGATCCAAGCAAAGATCCATTGACTGCCTCCTATTTAAAAAAACAATTCTAATACGATGTAATTTTTCAACTATAAAACTTTACTGTCTTACTAACCTCTCTGTGAATAATAGTTTTGTTATACCGCCTCCTGGAATATAGAATATTTTATCATCATTTACTCCAGGAAATGTTGATATTTGCTCCAATTCACTGCCACTCAGTCTCTCCAAAACATCTCCCACTGTTTTCTCAACAGCAGGTGAAATTAAGTATCGTAATGCAGTGCTGTCAATAAACCATAAAATGTAAGTTTAGCTGCAAAAATTAAACCTTTGACCTTTCAAAAGAACAAATTAATTAGCAGCTCTAACTGAAATAGCTCTAGTAAGTAGTTAACAATTTTTTTAATTCAATATTTTTATCACTTAAAAACAACCCCCAAATGGGGAAACAATCTGTTAAAAACAGTTTACAGTAAGTTAAAAATATAAGTTAAATAATAGTTCATTGAATATCTTTCTAAAACCATGTATTTAAACCCATAAACAGTTAAAAATTCTTTGACACAGGGCAACAATACCAAACCAGAGGGCAAGGTACTACCTATTTAACCAAAAACTTCCATCTTAACCTAGCGCTGGCTCAGCTTACAAGGTTCAGTGCCACCTGTCACTGAATGTGGGGAATTCCACAAACAGGCTGCTTGGACTGAACATGCCCCTCTTGATTGGCAGTACACAAAATCCTTCACAGATGCAATATCTCCAGCACTCCTATTATAACTTAGCTGATGGGCTAAGTACATATGTTACTCTGACAGTTATGTCATCATTACAAGTACCAAAATTAGATCAGTAGCACATTGGCAGTTTTCAACTAATGGTAGCTTGTCCTGCTCAGCAACCTAGTTGCAGTTGCAGCACTCATATACAGGTTATACAGCTCTTCATTCAGAAGGAAAACCCCATTCAAAGCAGGTAGCCTCACTAATTCTTAGACAAGAAAAATGTCTATCTACGGTGCTTTCATTTTATTATGACTCAGTCTTATCTTACTGACCTTCATCCATTTCATCCGTATGCCCAGAGACTGTCCTGGGCTTGCATAACAACAACTAACATATAACTAACAACTAACTACCAACTCTATAAACTAAACATGTTTTTCCTCAGATCATACTGCAGTGGCAAAGGATAGCCATTTAATTCCAGAAAAAGGCAAAGATGCTTCAAACAGATGCAGGCAGGTATGACATGAGCACACCCACACACTCCAAAGCACCGTTTTGCTGTTGAACCTTAAGTGCTGCAAGGCCCTAATTAGTAAAACTGGGCACTGTAGACTCACTCACCAATTATAAATTAAATTATATATTATAAATGTATAAAACAACCCAGTATATAGAGATATGAGCTGAACAAAATTAGGACTCTTTTTTTTTCCTTAGTAATTCATCAGTTTGGGAAATATCTGCTCAGAAAAGTGACTGCAAACTAAAACCAGAGTTCACAAATTTGGACTATATTGAACAATACTTTTCAGCCAGCAGAAGAAACTCTACTGTGGATAGTTCTACTTCCCTCTACAATCCTCCTTACAGTACCAGATCCATTCTGGAAATGTAAGAAACCCACTGGGGCAGATTTGGAAGGAATGAGGAGAGTTGCAAGAAAGAGATGGGGAAGAAGCTTCTATTAGGTAAGTACATGTCTGTTGGTATAATGCTTGATTGGCCTTATGCATACAGTTACATCATATGTAATGACTTACCCATGAAGCTGTTGGTCATTCCGTTGATAAGCATGACTACTTGACAAGAGAACAATTTTGGAAAATTCACAGTTTTTCACCCACGACAGCAGTATTTGACAAAAAGGCCTATATTTATTCTTTTATTACATTAGGAGAAAAAGTAAGAGGTTAGAACTTTGCATGGAATCATGTCAATTCATCTGTACTTTTAACATTCTGAAATTTGTATGGTTATGGAATGAAGTTTTTCTTATTTATTTATTATTGACAGTGAAAAATAAAAATGATTTGACTGACCAAGTTATTTTTCACAGTCTTATCAACTCAAAATAATTTAAATAGTTCTAGCAAATCACTGAGTGAACAATCTTGATGCTTTTCATAAAGCTATTATTATCAAAATGTCCTTAAATACAATTATTTGTAAGATGATCATTCAACTTTGATGTGAAGATTTTTCATCTTCTAGTTTCATTTTAAAGTGAATAATTTCAATATCCCTGTTGTGGGAAAAATGCCCACTTAAATAAGAAATCACAGCATTTGGAGATAGAGGCAACAAAGTATCTTTTATTGGCATGCACAAGTACAATGATCACTGGCCTCCAGCCAAAAGAATGCAAAAGAGCCCTGAATAAAGCAAGGTTATGGGTGATATACTCCCAGAACAGTTACACAGGAATCATAAAACCAGTGTAAATCAAACTGTGAGCTTTACAGGTAGAATATTATGCCTGGTAACACTATGGGATGACTTTACTTTGACTATCCCAGCATCTCTACATTCTTCTCTACTACCCGGACTCTAATCTGCCCTAATGAGAAATATTGACACCATGTACTATAAACAATGGCATTTATTGTGCTCATATACCATCTCCCTTCATAACAAAGGAAAGACAACAGTCTGGTTTCTGTTATCTGTCTCCTCTCTTTCCAAGATGATTAGGTGGCTTTGGTTTGCCTGCTTCTTTGTATTTCTGTGCTTTTCTTCATGCTTATTCTATGTACATGCCATCATACATGACACCCCTCCACAATCCCACATGGACATACACACCTTTATGAATGGTGATCTGATCTGCAGAACCACCAATTCTTTTGACGTTGCTGCATACACTGAAAGAAGTAGCATAAGCAACATGTCAGGACTAACATTAAATTACTTTTAACTAACTACGCTACAACTGATGCCAGGAAATTTAGGAGGGGTCAGTATGTGTTCTGTAATCTTGCTTCTGTTGCATTTTGACAATGTTGTAAAAAGACTTGTCTAAAATCTAACACAAAATCAAAAGTTGCAGAACAAGAGAGCACCCTCCTAAAAAAAGAGAAAACACTTGATAAACACCCATCACTTATATGCTCCCACAGTTTTCAATATTTCTGAAATCTCATAATAATTCTGAACTTTGGAATCATTGGTATCAGTAACTTTTGTACTAATTGATTAGGATTTGATCTATAAAATTAATAAAATGATCAAACTAAATTACCTGTATCAAGGTCTTGAGTAGATAAGAGATAGAGAATAAGAAGAATCAAATTGGTTAAAATAATATTTAAAAATACTTGTATTACTGCAGAAGGTAGGACATGGAAGAGTGAAAGAAGCAAATTAAAATTTGAAATTGTTATTTCTTTTATTTTGCAAATTAGAATATTACTAGGACAAGACAAAACACACCTTCCAACTATGACTGATGGCTTGTTATCAAGCTTGCCCTTGCATGCACATTTTTTGTGTGCAATCCCAGCACATTCCAAAAAGTTTAGAATTTAGTGTTTGCCTCAAATTAAAAATATTGCTCATCATCTAGAAGACTGAAGGGGATGGAAATGGGGCATCTGAAGTAATGATTTTCTATTAATAAATACATAAATGAAACCCTAAACTTTAAGCAGTGCAATGTAGTATTCAAAATAATTGCATCTGCTAAATATTCTCTGCTAAAGCATACACGTAATTTAACCTTACTCTTTCACAAAAACCCATAAATGACATTGAAGAGTAGGCACAGTCTGTTATTCATAAGCTCATTCCATTTTCTCAAAATTCATTAAAAATTAGGCAGTGTTATATTATGCATGCATAAGAACAATTTAGCTGGTCAGTCTGAATTTATGGCCACATATCTTATACCCCAGACTGGCAGTCACAAAAGCTTATAATATAAATCATGTTTTTCATATTCCAAAATCAAGAACTGTTGCTATAAAAATTTTATATAGGAGAAATTAATGCTAAAGCCAAATAAGATACTTGAAAATCTCTTTACAAAGAATAGCTTGAGCAAACTCAGGAGTACAGCAGCATTAAAGTATTTCCAGCTGCATCTTGGTGGTCATTACATTAATGTTTACAGGACTGCTCTGCAAAAGCAACTCTGAACAGATCATATCATACATCTGAAGCACCCAATCACACTCAATTTAGTGGATGGCAAGACTGTATTTACTTACCTTCAGCATTTATGCACAGTTCTGTTGCATCCTCTTCTACTGTTGCATAAGGATTATTTCCAACCATTGGCACAAGGCAATCGGTATAAAAATAACCAACTTTGGGTATATGAAGTGTAGAAATGACTAAATCTATAGCCAGCTGGCCAACATTGCCCACTGATACAGCTGGCTGAAATTAGATAAGAAGCAAATATAGATTATATCATCTCAAATACTTACTAATTCTATTTCTAATTTGCTGGAAATAAAGAAATAATAAATTAGCTATGTATCCATATTGCATTGTAGGTTTGCAAAACCATAACATTAAATTACAATATTGTTGTGAATTAATTCAAAGAAATTCTGTATTTAAACATTCACTTGATAATTACTGAAATAAAATATGTCTTTCTTCATATGAAAATATCTTAATTAACTGCAGACAAATCCATTATATATGCTGCATTACAACAAACAAAGCTTGAACAGTTACTTTACAGATAGTATATGAATAGTATTCCTGAACTGGAAAATTACATGTACATTATATTGTATATCTATTTAATTTTATATGGGAGTGGCACAAAATGTGATTAGTTAAAAATTTTGACTATATGTAAACCTGCCAAAATTCAGATATTTCCTATACAGAAGTAATGTCACTGCAAACAAATTATTTGTGCACAGTATTTGGTTCAAAACATTTTATTCAGTTTCAGCCTAGAAAGCTAAACATTCTGCATCAATAAAAACAAAATAATTTATATAGAAAAAGCAGCTCAGTTAATTTTGGAAGAAAGATAAAGTTAAATTGTGAGTAATATTCCCCTAATTAACTTTGAATATATTTAAAGCAGATGTCTCCAACCTTTTCTGATTGGTGGGCACATTTGGAATTTTGAAGAGTATGATCTTTCAAAATGGATGTTGGGGACTGGCCTTTCACAAAAAAATGGTTGTGTCATGGAGGACCACAAGTTTACAATTACAAAGCACTAATTTACCAGAATACTATCTGTCATTCCCAATAGTGCCTTCATTCTGTTCTGCCCTTCATTCCTGCAGAACACTCACTCCTGTCCTTATTTACTTTTGTCATTCTCCTGGGAAAGTAAGCATATTTCCAAAATGGACTGTGGGTCACACACACAAGATTAGAGGTGTCTTCAAATACTCTTCCTCCAATGTGATATATGCCATCATCTGTCAGCAAAGCCCTTCTGAATTTGGGACAAACATTATAGAAAAAAAATGGACACACATTTGACATCAGGACTCAAAACAAGGCCAAAATATTAGAGCATTTCAACCTCCCAGGACCCTCCATGACAGACCTCAAAGTAACTGTTTTGGAAAAAGGGGACTTTAACAACACCATTGAGCAGGAAATGGTTGAACTCATATACATCAAAAGGTTTCAGGCAATCTCAGAAGATCTCAGTGACCCAATGAGTTTTTAACACATTACAACTGTTAACTGATAAAAATCCTAAAATGAGAACACTGTTGGACCACATGAATAGTCCATTAGTCCAGCATTCGGTTTCCTTGAGACTCAAAGCTTCAGGTACCAATACTACATCTGGGCAGCAAAAATCTGATGACTAGATTGTTCTGTATCTCTTTGCTTTGATTATTTGAAAGAATGCTTCTAATTCCTTTTCTTTTAAAAAAAAATCCAATCAAAGTACAGTAGAATTGTTTTAAAATAATAAAAAATATTTTATAAGACTGGAATGATCATATTGTAAGCAATCAAGAGTCTTTTTGATTGCAGTGACTAGAAAAGAAAAAGAAAGAAAGATGCATGAGCCCTTCGCGCGTTCCCAAGGCTTTTAACATCCCTCTCAAACCTCACCAAACAGACGCGGGGAGAGGTCAGAGTTCGAAAACGCCGCGCAGTTGTGCCACTCGCTGGTTGCCCGGACAACGGTCGAAGAGATACCTGATTATAAAGACTTATACAACTCTTATATAGGAAAATGAATGCTTATTTTACCATAAGGAGCGTGAAGCCTTTGAAATCAGAGCACGCACAGCCGTCACAGGAAACAAACATCCCAGCAATGGAGAAAACAACAAGCAGCCAGGAAACACCACCTCTAGCGATCCAAAACGGGGAGAGAAGCGTGCCAGTTTCTATGTCCTGGGTCCTGCACTGTCCGTGGCAGGAATAGGTGTTCGTGAGGTGCCCGTCAGCCTCTGACGGCTGAAAGCTGGTTAACGGAGCCAGAAGAACAACATCGAAACATCGTTTTGG